GTATCAACCCTATGTACAATGCAAGGACACCAGGCCAGTAAAGAAAAAAAAAAATGATTACATAAAATAGATTGCAGTGATCCTCCCCCGTCCATGCCACTAGTTTCTTACTTTCACAATATACTCCCTAGAGTACACAAAGATAGTTAAATGATAAATCTGTGCCACTTAACAGTACACAGGTATTGCGGTGATTTATGTACATGAAAAATCAAAAGCCAATGGTAGCGTGATGTGAAGACTACCAATTTGAACTACACAAAATTCAGACATGGAAATGTTACCATAGTAACCACCTGCTCATATTGCACATGACTAGAGCTGGTATCTTGTTATGATTCTATAGTTGTTTATTTCAACATGTCTGATAAAACAGCTTAAGAAGCCTCTAACTTTTCCATTTTCTATTTAATTTTGGGGAAGAAGGAAGTCTGAGTTTAGAACCTTAGCCACATTTTTGTTTACTTCCTTAGGCTTTTTCAGACTATAAAAAAAAATAACATTTTTTTTTTGCAAAAATTCAAAACATCTAGCTATAGATCTCTGTTTATATGACAACACATTATAATTCAAATCCATGAGGCTTCACACTATAATGGGAAGTAAAAAATTAACATATATGTAATATAAAAATACTTTGAGTATAAGTCTGAATGTGTTGAGAGACAGTTACTAATATATCTCACGTAACACATTCAAACTTAAATCAAAAATATTCTCAACAGACAGTTAGATACATATGTTCTTACTTCATCTAGCCCTGTAGCTAGATAGGAGAAAAAGAAAATCCATCCGATTTTCTCTTAGATGACACAGAGGGAGTGATATAAAGGAAATCGGCATCTTTCAGTATTTATAAATCATAACTTATTCCCAGGCTGATTTTATTCACAAAGATATTTAAGCTACATAAATCTAAACTCTATTTGTGGACAAAATGTGCTAAAACAAAAAAAAATGTGGTTGTAAAACTTGGTTATTATTCAATAAATAAATGAAAGCAAATTATCCTCCAAAACACCCCTCCCATCAGAAATCACTGTAAGGCTAGAGAGCTTGTTATTAAGATAACCTAAACTTCTTATCAGCACGTCAATGAGATGTGATTTCACACAGTAAAACGTAAATGTGTGTGATTTGTAAAACTTAGTGAAATCAAATATGTATTTGGAGTAACGTAAGAACACAAGTGCCCTAAACAAGATATCTTCTTTATCATTAAAATGACTGTTGGACTCCCTAAAAATCTACATTTTATAATAAATTTATAAGCCTCTTAAAAGTAATCTTTTGCACAATTAACTCTGATTAAATATAAACAAGTGAATTCCTAAGTTTAATTACCAACTCTAAGTAAAACTTTGATCACCTCCAAGAATGAGTGAAAAACTACCTCCATTAACTGATGCTCTTTTACTATTTTGTTAATGCCAGATCAAAGGATCAGTATTTTTATTAAATACATATCTTTTGAGTCATATCTTCCTAGGCAAATAATGAAACTTCAGTTCCTACTAGGTTAAAACTTTTTTTTAGTGGTTTGACATAAAAAGTTAAAAATAACCATAAGTTCAATAAGCTTTTTTCCCCCAGATTTTCCTTACCCATTGTACTTTTTTCATTATTTCAAAATATAAAAATAACCCATAGACCAATTAAAACAACTCAACATCCTAATAGGTTTATATTATAATTCTACGACATAAAAGATAATCCATAAGCAACAAAATATGGAGATTATATAAATATATATTTAGAATTTACTAACATTTTATTGTAAAAGAAAATATCTTTACACAAACATCATCTTGTTATTTAATTCTACTTTGTAATCCCAGTTGATTTTTCCCAAGCTAGCTAGAAAATAATCTAATAATTGAAAAATTAAGATAAAAGAAATTGGACATTTATTTGAAGTGATTAAAAAAGAAATAAAAGTACCCAAACAAGCATACTTCATAAAATCAAAATCACTGAGATTTCTATCACTGGAAGTGCTCAAATACAGACTGGAAGGATCTCCCATACAGAATCTTGAAAGTTTCCTCTTCTTTTCCATCTCTTCAATTTTATAATTTTATGTTTCTAAGAAGACTTAAGAAATACAATATTAAGGAAGCTAATTTTTTACTGCTTATTTTTTGTGTAAATGAATGATAACTCATTGGTTCATGAGCTATCATGAACAAACTACATTTTTTAACCATACTGTTATCCTCCTATTCGTAATGTGAATACATATTACCTGCTATGTTATCCCTTATTTGAAAATTTTAAGCAGCCCAGACTAATTTCAACTGCAGGAGTCTAGGCATTTTTATCTACTATGAAGCTTTAATGCCAACAGCAATCTTCAAATATGTGGCAGAAGACTACTACTTTTTATAAAGCTCATAATAAATGGCCTCATTTTTATACCTTCAGAACAATATGCTTTATAGGTCCAAATTCAATCTATGATGCAAGTATCCAGCTTAGTCTGTAAAAACACAGGATAAGC